CTGACTCGGCCCGGCTGACTTCGCCCGGGGCTGACTAGGCCCGGGCTGAACTCGGGCGCCGGGCTGACTCGGCGTACTCGGCGGCTGACTCTGCCGGGCTGACTCGCCCGGTGCTCCCGGACTACTCGGCCCGGCTGACTCGGCCCGGCTGACTCGGCCCGGGGCTGACTGTCGCCCGGGCTGACTCGCCCGGGCTGACTCGGCCCGGCTTGACTCGCCGCTGACCGGCCCGGGCTGACTCGGCCCGGGCTGACTCAGCCCGGGCTGACTCGCCCGGCTGACTCGCCCGGCTGACTCGCCCGGGCTTGACTCGGCCCGGGACTGACTCGCCCCGGGCGACTTCGGCCCGGGCTGACTCGCCGCTGACCTCGCCCGGCTGACTCGGCCCGCGGCTGACTCGGCCCGGGCTGACTCGGCCCGGGCTGGACTCCCGTGCGACTCGGCCGGGCTGAGACTGGCCGCGACTGCTGTCGCCGGTGCTGCGGACTCGGCCCGGGCTGATCGGCGACTCGCCGGCGCCGCCGCTGAACTCGGCCCGGGCTGACTCGGCCCCGGGCTGACTCGGCTCCGGGCTGACTCGGCCGCGGGCTGACTCGTGCCGGGCTGACCGCCGGGCTACTCGGGCCCGGGCTGATCTCGGCCCGGGCTGACTTCGGCGGCTACGCGGCGAGCCGGGCCGCTGACTGGCCCGGGCTGACTCGGCCCGGCTGATGGCCGCTGCGGCCCGGGCTGACTCGGCCCGGCTGACTCGGCCCGGCTGACTGCTGCTCGGCCCCTATGCCGGGCTGACTCGGCCGGCCCGGGCTGACCGCCGTGCTCGGCGGGCTGACTCCCGGCTGACTCGCGCTGGCGGCACGGGCTGACTCGGCCCGGCTGACTCGCCCGGGCTGACTCCCGCGAGGCCCGGGCTGACTCGGCCCGGGCTGACTCGGCCCGGCTGACCGCCGGCTGACCCCGGGACTGGGCTGCCCGCCCGGGCTGACTCGCGCCCGGGCTGACTCGGGCCCGGTGCTGACTCGGCCCGGGCTGACTCGCCGGCTGATCGGCCTGACTCTATTGGTTTTAAACAATGTATTGTAAAGCAAAGGGGTTGAGCCCGGTAGCGTTTCTACTGCGCATGCCGTTATAAGGTTGCGTAATTTGAATAAAGGTCAATTTTTTTTCATCTTTCGCACAGCTTGTGCTTCTGTTAGACTCTTAGGTTACGTAGACGTTTCTGGCATTGAAAACCATTTTTCGATTTCTTCAACCCTAAGAGCCGAACTTTTAAAGCACACAATTAAACTATGTTGAAACTAGCAGAACGTTTTGAAAATGCAAAAGAATTACATGTAAAGGGATTCCAATAACATCTTTAATGCAAAACTATGTAGTTGGGTCTGAAAATCCTCTTGGACCTTTAAGCTGATGACGTTGGCTTTGCCGTTGTGTCGATGTCTCATTTACAATACGCATGGCGCATGCATGTTTCCAATGCTAGTGAACTGTGTTTATTCAAAACAGCTTATATCTTAAAAGCTTCAAGTGACTCACTGCGTTTTACGAGTTACCTTGCAACGCGATCAGTAAAAGTTTCTTTACTACGGACTTACAAACTCCTCGACATACAGACGAAAAAGCTATTTTACCAAAGGAACTAATCGAAATGTCATAAATTGCACACGCCAGGCAGATATCAAAGTAAGCCAAATTGTGTCTCACAATTGTCTAGCTTGGGAATCAGTTTACTTCAAACTATTCATATTCAATTAAACTAGCGAGTAATACTTGAAAAAGTTACACGAATTAATAAACGACGTTTTCAGCCATAGCCCGTATCAAAATTATATATTTTTCATAATTCATTTTAAAACCTCATGCAATATACGGAATGAGGAGGATATATTGCAAGCAAAAAACGGGCTCGTCCCCCGGAAAAAGATTTTTAAATCACCGCTATTCGAGATTCAGGAAAAATGCCGAAAATAATGTCTGTTTTTTCACAATTGCTTTGAAGAAATTCTCAGTCAAATGACTGTATTTGAAAGCTTTGAAAAGGTGTCAAAATATTTAGTGTCAAATGATCTGTTAAGGGTTGAATTGCAGTTAGACTAAATGCCAGAAGCTCTAAAAGCCATGTTTTCAGTTAGCGCGCCACTATTCTAAAATTTTTCAAAAGAAAGCAACTTCTCTTTCCACGTAGGAGACGAATTATTTCAATTAAACATCTATCTTCTGAAATTTAGCAAAAAAATGACTTCATTTTCATCAAACTATTTATTGAATTTTTGAAAAGTATTAGAGCGTTTCTTTTGAAAAATAAAAGACTTTAGTTCCACTAACTAGATATGCCCTACAATTATGGTAATTATGTCAGGCATTGAACATGCTTATAAAAAACTATTGACTTTTCAGAAATTTACTACAAACTCAATTTGAAATGGTCTAAGTGAGCCTCAGCGTACCGCGTTTGTGCAAATCGATAATTTTGCAGATTGATGGGCTCCTTCTGTATGAAAAGACATGGTAAAAAAGGGACAAAGAATTCTCTTAAAAAAACTCATATATCAGTAAACGAAATTAC